CCAGCGATAATAAGATACCCTATAATGAGAGATTTTACCCAAGCCCTTGATGAAATGGAATGATGTAACTGATGCTTTAATGACCACCTCTTTTTAAACGGCAAAAGCGGAAAGCGAAAACACCGATAAAAGAAATCAGTGAATGTGCTTTACTGCAAGAAAACTATTAGTTTGTTTTCTCGCAGATCAATCTATTTTGGTTCCTACTATAAATTACGGATGGGGATCATGAATATTAATATACACACCGAGCAAGAAAACACGGATAAAAACGCATTTTTGCAAACATGAGTTTTTCATTATATCAATATTAGCAGAGCCAAGGCAGGTGAAAGAGTCTCGTTCCAAATTTATAATGTCTCCCACTCGACTACATCTGATAAGGTAATATTCATATAAAATAGAAACTTCATTGTAACCTAATTATGTACAATAATGGATCGTATGCAATATAGGTGAACAATTCAACAAGAAAAGTTGAAAATAAACAATGTAACTAAATACAAATTAAAGACATGTCATAATAGATCATACCATCTTATATAAATCAGCAATGTTTGCCGCAGTTTTCACATCAACTTGAGATTTTTCATGTTAAATAGCTGAATGATTTTAATACATTCAACATTAAGTAAATTTATTCAAAAAAAGTAAATTTTATATAATGTTTTTATCACGACTTGGCATGCGCAAAACAAATTCATGGATTTGGACAAAAACAAAGACACCCAGAATGATGTCAAAATCTGCGAAAAATATTAATTGTCCTTAGTTTTATTTGTATATAAATATCAGTAGAAAAAGAAAATGTTGAAAAAATAGCGAGGATCCCAAAGCACTGCCTGGGGCTTCCAAACAGACTTGGTCCCCTTCCAGCCGTTAGGTTTGGGGTAGTACACACCGGCCAGGAGCATTGCATCAATAAAAAAAAAATATGTAAAAATTATGTAGGGAAGGATATTTTTGACAACAATCAAGATCTTTCAGAATCAAATTATCACTTCACGGACTTCTACATAGGATCAATGTAGTATATGTGTGTTTTGCCTTACTTATTTGTTTCAAATTAATTTCACTGTGCTGCTCATATATACCTGTTCATTTTTAGCGCTAACAAACAGTAGTCACACTGTCCGCTATACGGATGGATTTTGCTTAATCCGCGCGTTGCAATTATGATCCGACGTTGCTTGTCCAGTGATCAATGACATTTTCATCTGTGATATGATTTTCAAGTGCCCATTTATCACTTAGAATCTTTCTTAGGTTTCTCGAGTTTCCGATCTCTTCGTGTTAGATTTATCGACTCGAAACAGCAACACAAAGAAAGAAAACTGTACAAGAAGTCTCATCTATGGCTGCAGAATTGGATGTAACTGCGGGAAACATCAATCAGGCGTTTGGAAAATAATTGATTCCAGAAGTCTCCACAACGAGGCAAGAGTTTTGAAGGCCATGAAGGTTGTGGAAGGAAACGAACTTCTGATATCACATTTTAGGAAATCAGATAAGGTAGACAAATGTACAAACGAACATAAGCTCGCCGAAAATGGAGGCACGAACAAGCCGAGACGTTCGCGTGCAACTGGAAAAAATCAAAACTCTTTGTATTCCCTGTTTCTGACAGAAGGTCAACAATATCAGCGTTCCTAAACGAGCAGTTGAAGAAGAAAAACGATACATTATTTTGGCGAAGTATAATATTTAGGGAGACACGCTATCCATATAGCAGCTTGGATTGAGGAATCGGAGAGCTGAGTTCAAATTTCAATCGAATCCATTACATTCACTTACGTGCTAATACCCTTGGGGAAAGGTGAGAATCCTCTCCTTCTCCCAACAACTATGGGTAAATAGCAGGATAGGCCGGGTTCTATAGCCTTGGATGGCAACTGGTGTACCGCAGAAAGAAATGGCAACCTACTGCGGGAAAAAATCTGACTCGTCAGTCATGTAACGAAAGATACATGATCGCCTAAGCGTATATCACGCATGGTACATAATAACTAATAATGGTTTATGAGTCGATTTTCTGTGATAATCGGAAAATGATCTGTAGAATTGTTCGATCGTAACGAAAAGCATATACTTAAGTAGCTGTAAAAAAATGACCTTACCACGTTTCAAGTTAGTGTCCAATAATCTGAAGTCATGTTATTTAAAAATAGTAAATAAGCGCTCAAAGTTCGTAGCGCCGTCTTTTAAAAAAAAATAAGAACCTGATGCCGTGTCTTTTCGGCGTGTGAACTATCATGACTCTCCACAAGTTCCTATCGTCCAGTTCACATTCCTTCGGCATATTTTTAATAGGCGTAGAGGTTTATCCCTTGTTTCCTGTTTAGGATTAGGTTTCCAGTTCGATCCTTACTGGGTGCCCCATAATTTCAACCTTGTGCCACAACTAAGTTAAGCATAGAAAATCACTATAATTTTATCTTACGGTATTTACGTTCTTTTCAATCACATTCATAATAACTGAGCAAATATATCAGCGAATTCTCAGGAAGAACATTTTTAGGGAAAAAAAAACAACATATTAGCTATGTCCGTCATCCCTCCTCTAGTGTCAAGATTTAAATCACTTCGTGTTCTGGTAATCGTCGCTAAAATGTAACTCGATAATTTAATAGAAAACTCTGTGGACTAAGCAAATCGCATTACCGGAAGTGAAATTTGCTTTAAAATTAAAATGGATGCTGGGATAATTGATTGAGTCTCCAACGAGAGAGCTTGAAACGAACGTGGTTGTCTCGGTTTCAATTCAAATGGCTGGATCATAACCAGACAGATCTCGAAATGCTGAAAAAGAAAGAATTTGAATCGAGAAGCAAGGATTTCTACGAAGCACATATTGTTGCATAGTAGCTAACGCTTAACATCTTTAAAGCGTGGTCTTCTAAAGTGCTCTGAGTTCTTTCATAAAGTGAAAATCAACCCTGACATTTATAGCTGCCATTAGTGTGGCAGAAGGACCAAAAAGACACAAAGTAAAGATCGTGTGTAGAAAAGGCTTCTAGTTCCTACGGTAGACCAAAGAAGCCTTATTATTATCAACTCTGTCTACAAAGTACCGTCTAAAGTAATTTATTTTGTACAGCTGGGGTTCTACATACACTCTTCCGTAGAACCGAGTGTGGGTGGGGAACCGGCTTAATCACCGACCATTCAGATGTTGAATTCAGTATGGTCCTAGACCAGTTGCACCACTATAGGCTACAGTCTGTCTTGCTATTTCTCCATAGCTGGGGGTGAAGAGATGAATTCATACCTTTATAGGGGGAAATTACATGTAACGCTTAAAATAATATGAAATAATGTTTCATTATAAGTAAAATCCGTTCATGCCAGGGAATATATATATATATATATATATATATATATATATACAGTGTAACCCGGATATAAGAGAGTTGTCGGTACCGGAGAAGAAGTCTCTTATATCCGGGTTTCTCTTAATATCCGGGTTTGGTCTATTTTATATACATTAACACAGGCTCTAATTTGGGACCAGATAAAATCTCTCTTATATCCGGGTTTCTCTTATATCCGGGTTACTATATATATATATGTATATATATATATATATATATATATAGAGAGAGAGAGATATATATATATATATATGTATATATATATATATATATATATATATATATATATATATATATATATATGTTACTAGGCCTAAATACTACAAACTGCCGTGTAACTGAGACTGATGGTTTGTTAAAACAAAATACAAATTGGTTATATATATAACTATATATCTATCTATCTATCTCTCTCTATATATATATGGATGGCATTTTATATATATATATATATATATATATATATATATATTTAATATTGTTTTAATATGTCTTGTAATATTAAGTTTTACACTTATTTCGATCATTAAATTTTGTACCTACAAAAATATATTTAAAAATATATATATATATATATATATATATATATATATATATATATGCAGAGATAGAGAGCCAAAAAAGACAGACAGAGACAGGAAGACAGATATTTTGCAGTTAGCGCCTAATAACTGTATTTGTGTATTAAACTCGTTGTGTTACCTGTAAGGAGAAATGTATATTTATTATTAATATTATAGCTCTGTTACTATAAATCGAACACTATCTTATTAGAACCAGCATGTAATATGTGATATATATATATATATATATATATATATATATATATATATATATATATATATATATATAATTAAATTAATTGATTTAAAAATAAGGTTTTTTAATACACAGTTCTAATCATGTTTCAAAGATGGAAGCTAAAGGCCTCGAATTTAATTTTGTAATTAAATTAAATTACAAAATTAAAATCGACGCTTTTAGCTTCCATTTTTGAAACATGGTTAGAACTGTGTAGCGAAAAAACATATTTTAAATCAATTAATTTATAATATTAATGCTCTGTAAACTTACATTGAGCACTATTTTGTAAAAATAAAAATACCTATAAGAACACAGGATTATATATCTTACTGTTCTTTTCTTTTATATATATATATATATATATATATATATGTGTGTGTATTGAACGGACGCTTATACACATGCAGAGACATTGAGATTTATATATTAGATTATGTCGTTGTTAGTGATTTTTAAGATTCGATGTTGTTTTTCTTCCAGTAAATCTCATGTTTACTTCCTACAAACACGGCTTCAAAATAAAATCTCAAGATCTGCAAATGCATCCATAAATGGAACGAGGGTCGATATCTACTGTTCGTCATAGTCGTGAAGATTTGTAGCCGTCGTCTATAAGGAATCACGTGAATTGCAGGCTCTGATTGCAACGCATTCGATGATATCAAGATGTTGATATTTCACTGAATCGGTGAGAAGATACATTTTTGTTTTCAAGAAGAAATGGATGGGAAGGAATTATTTTATCTTTTCTCTTGTGTCCCAATATTCGTTGTCCTAATTCTGAATATTTTAATCTTTTACTAGCGAATCGAATGTAAATGCTTCATGCAAACATTCGAAAATGGCATTTTAAACATTCCCTTCCACTTTGCTCTTTCTCTGGAAGCTGCTAGTTTTCCCATTTTAACCTTATTACTTTTTTCGACCGTCGGCTTCTTTTTCTTTCTTTTTTATTTAGATATAATTTTCTTTCTTTTCTCTTTCATTTCTTTTTTCTTGCCGTCTGGTTTCCTTCTTTCTTATGTGTGTATTTCTTCTTTCTTTTTTTTTTTCTTTCGCTTTCTTAACTTCCAGTTTGTGTGTGTGTGTGTGTGTGTGTGTCTTTCTTTCTTTCTTTTTTAGAAATCTGTTTCTTTCTTTTCTCTCCGTTTATTTCATTCGCCTTTTTATCTTCCAGTGTCTATCTTTCTTTCTATCTTTCTTTCTTTCTTTCTTTCTTTCTTTCTTTCTTTCTTTCTTTCTTATTTAGGAATGTGTTTCTTTTCTTTTCATTTCTTCTTTTCGCTTTCTTATCTCCCATTTTTTCTTTCTTTCTTTTTTCTTATTTATTCAGAAATCTGTTTCTTTCTTTTCTCTCTGTTTATTTCATTCGCCTTTTTATCTTCCAGTGTCTATCTTTCTTTCTTTCTTTCTCTCTTTCTTTCTTTCTTTCTTTCTCTCTTTCTTTCTTTCTTTCTTTCTTTCTTATTTAGGAATGTTTCTTTTCTTTTCATTTCTTCTTTTCGCTTTCTTATCTCCCATTTTTTCTTTCTTTCTTTTTTCTTATTTATTCAGAAATCTGTTTCTTTCTTTTCTCTCCGTTTATTTCATTCGCTTTCTTATCTTTCTTTCTTTCTTTCTTTCTTTCTTTCTTTCTTTCTTTCTTTCTTTCTTTCTTTCTTTCTTATTTAGGAATATGTTTCTTTCTTTTCTTTTCATTTCTTCTTTTCGCTTTCTTATCTCCCATTTTTTTTCTTTTTTCTTATTTATTCAGAAATCTGTTTCTTTCTTTTCTCTTCATTTCTTTTCTTCTCATTTTTCAGTTTTTTTCGTGTTTTCTTTTTCTTTCCTCATTTATTTGTTTCATTCTTCTCTTTTTGTTTTATTTTTCAAAACTTTTTCTTCGTTTTCTACGCCTTTTACTATTTCTTTCCTCTTGAAAATGTTCCTCTCACATTTTCCCACATTATCAACATTCATTTCCTCAGTATCTTTCTTTTCAATATTTTTCCTTCCTTCCTTTCTCAGTTTCGTTCACTTGTAATTTTCTGACTTTTTTTTATTTATCATCATTCCTATTTTTTGTTTTTTTTTTTCATTTAGTTCTTTTCTTTCCATTATTTTGTCATTCGTTCTCTTTCATTTCGCTTATATTCTTCCTCTCTTTCATTTCATTTTATCTTTCTTTCTTCAGTTCTTTGATTTATTTGTAATAAGTATATTACATTCGTCTTTCTCATTTTTACTTCCTTTATTTGTTTATTAATTAAATAAATTACTTTCACTTCCTTTCTGTATTTCTTTTGCTTCCTTTTATTTCATTAAGTCATCCATTATTCATAGATTTTTCTTTCGTTCTCTTTATTTTCCTTTCCTTTCTTTTCTAGTCTTTGTTTTTTCTTTCTTTCTTTATTTATTTATTTATTTTGATTCCTTTCATTTTTTTTTTGTTTCTTCTTTTTCTTTTGCTTTGCCATTATTACCTTCTGTCTTTCTTTCTATTTTTGCTTTCTTTTCCTTCATTCTTTTGGGTTTTTTTTCCTTTCTTTGCTTTTTCATTTTTTCTTCTCTTTCTTTCTTTGATTTGCTTTGCCATTCTTTCTTTCTTTCTCCCTTTCTTAATGACGCATCAAAACTTATTCATCTTCGATCCAAGCCGATCTCCCATTTTTCAATTTTCCTTCTTCGATCCCTGATCCATCTTTCAGCGTCTTCCGATCAAAATTCCTCTTACAACTCAACCGCTCACACCCACCACTTGATTCGATCACCGTTTCTTGTCTTCGATCATTGATTTCTCATCATCCGCGATCTTCTTCGATCTTAGTTTGTATTTTTTTTTCGAATCGCTTTCATGTAATCGGAATAATAAGCAATTCTCTCCCTCATCTTCTCTCAATACCCCTCTCTCATATTGTCCTCTCAGTTTTTATACTCACAACCTACTCATTCATATTCATATTGCCACTCACATTCATATTTTCATTCATTCTTTATTCTCGCTTCCTTTTGCTCTCATATTTACATAATGCACCTCCCTTGTATTTTCTTTGCCTCTCCCTTCTCTCTCTCTTTCTTTCTCTCTCTCTCTTTCTCTCTCTCCCTCTCTCTCTCTTTGTCCCACTCTTACCTCACTCTTCTCTTCATATTCACATATTTGCCCCCCACCCATTGTTTTCCCTTTTTCTTTCTCTCCTGTTCCTTTAATCACTATCACACGTAGTTTGATAAATCACTGCTTTGTTTTAGGGTTTTTTTTTTCGATTTTTCATTTTCAACCAAACTTTTTCGCCTAATTAATCGTCAAATACAAAATTTTCCTACTCGTCATATTTTCAGTATTTGT